AAAGCAGAGCTTTTTCTTTAATAGCAATCATTTCTTGTTCTATGATAAACTAATATGTGTGAAATATATCTCTGCCTCTGTGACTAGGAATTAAGATTGGCCTAGCAATGAGACTCACCTCACCAAGAAATATCATCAAAGGAATTATCATTGTTGAAGGTTTTGGACTTTGGGCAGCATATCTATTGTATTTCAATATGGACAAAAGTCAAGGTAAAAACATTTTAATGCACCAGGTGACAAGCATTTACTATACAATGTATCATGCATACACTTGTTGAGCTTGTCTGAGACAGTTCATTGCCATATGTAGAAAGGGAACAAATCATACTGAAATAATACTTCAGTTCATTTCTTGTCCAGAAGACTAATCAAATGCTCTGTTTTCATTTTGAACAGTTTAGTTTACTTGTTTATAGTCAACTGTTTGGAAACTTATTGATTTTATATTTAGTTGGTTTACTCTTTATGCCTAGAAGTTACATTCTTTTGTTTGCATTGCTTTGCTTTTATGCATTGTAGTGTAGTTAGTAAACAAGAAACTAAGTATTCCTGGAAAGCTCTGATCTTTTAATATAATGGTTAAACTCCTGAATGGGAATCCAGGAATGCTTGCCATGTAAAATTCAAAAATTTTGAAACAGTAAATGTAGAACTCAGAACAATGGTAAGTAAAGTCCCACAGCAGAAAATCATAACAGGAAAAAGAGTCCCAGATGGGTGGGAGTTTCTTAGAAAGGACATTCTAAACGCAGAACTACAAACAGTGCCAACAAGGGGGAAAAAGGTGGAAGACAGCAAAAACAGACCAGTGTGCTTCACAAAAGGCTCAAAGAGGATCTGAAAATTAAAAGCATACCTATAGGAAGTAGAAGGAAGCATAGAGCACAAAGCAAGAGTACAGACAAGTAGCAAAGAATTGCAGGAATGTTAGGGTATTCGGTGTGACTGGAAAAAGAACAGGAAGGAAAAACAGAATTGCTCAATTCCTACTTTACCTTTATTTTTTCCCAAAACATAGTCTATGATCTCTAGGCAAATGTGAAATGCAAGTGTAAGTAACAGGATTGCAGCTTGAGATTGAGAAACAAATAAATACGTATTCTCGAAGGCTTTCATGGCTGGGATCCGATTGTTGTTGTAGGTTTTCCAGGGTGTTTGGCCGAAACACAAACAGCCCAAAAAACCTACAACAACCAAATAATCAAATAATTTATCACTTTGAAGGAGTTCAATCTCCAGGCCCAATGAACTGCATTCAAAAATATTGAAGGAACTGGCCAAAGAGATCTCAGAACCATGGTCTATTATTTTCTTGAAATCATGAGGAATGAGTGAAATGCCAGATGACTGGAGGAAGGCTAATGTATCTTCAAAAAGGAGAAACCTGGGAAATACAGATCAGTCAGCCTCACATCAATCCCAAGAAGTTCTAGAGCAGATTATAACCGATCACTATCCAAGAACCTTGAAAATAATACAGTAATAACTAGAAGCCAACATGGGTTTATCAAGAACAAATCTTGCTAGACTACTCTTGATCCCATTTTTTGATCAGGTAACCTCTCTGGGTAGGCGGTGGGAATGCTATAGGCATAATACATCATGACTTCATCAAAGCTTTTGACAAAGTGCCCCGTGATGTTCTGATTAGCAAGTTAAGTGTGAGCAACTATCAGATGGGTACACAGTTGGTTACAGAATCTTACTGAGGGTAGTTATCAGTGGCTGCTTCTCAAACTGGGAGGAGGTAACAAGTGGAATACTGCAAGGCTCAGTCTTGGGCTAAGTGGTTTTCAACATTTTTATTAATGACTTGGATGAGGGGGTGCAGAGAGTAACAAATTTGCAGATTACATAACGTTGGGTGGAATAGCTAATATCTTAGAAAACAAAATTCAAAAAGATCTTGATAGGCTCACGTGCTCGAGAATGAAATTAAACTGGGCTAAATGCAAAGTTCTATACTTGTGGGGGAACCAAAGTATAGTTACAAGATGAGGGATATTTGGCTCAGTAATACTATGAGTGAAAAGAATCTTGAAATAGATGTAGATTACAAGCTGCATATGAGCGAACGGCAGTGTGGCTACAAAAAAGAGAAAATTCTATTTTAAGCTGCATTAACAGTAGTATAGCCTTCAAATCCCATTAAGTATTAGTTCCCTTCTATTTGGCACTGGTTAGGCCTCATCTTGAGTACTGTGTCCAGTTCTGGACACTGCACTTTAAGAAGGTTGCCAACAAACTGGAACAAGTTCAGAGGAGGGCAATCAGGATGATCAGGTACTGGAAACCAAACCCTATGAGAAAAGACAGAAAGAACTGGACATGTTTAAACTTGAGAAAAGACAGACTTTTCAAATATTTAAAAGATTCTCATAGAGATGAGGGGCATAATATTAGCAAAGTTCCCTCTGTGCTATAAGGTAACCCTTGTACTACACCACTTTCCACAAGTACAGTACTTCACACAGTGAAGCTTTAAGAGTATTAAAAACAATCAAGACACTTCAGGGTGGAAGTAGCATAGTTATTTGTGACTGAAAAATTAGGAAATGTATCCAGTACAAGTAAATGCCATTACTGCAACTGAAATGTGTTAAAAGTTCACTGTTGAAACATGTTATTTTCTTAGATTTTAGGGAGAAAATGAAGAGACGATTCCCATTTATTCTGGAAGGTATGTTTTGATAGCTTCATTGCTGATAATTAGTGATTATGTGATTCTATTTTCCAAATCAGTCATTCTTACAAAACTGCAGCTCAGATTCAACTTCCATCTTGAAATCAGACAAAATTTTCAACTCCAATTATGTTTTCAAAAATGTTAACTTCATTCAACCATATATAAAATAAATGCACTTTTGTGTCTTCACAGTTTATTACAAAAGTAACGAGTGGGCTGGTATATATGGCAAAAGGGAGGAAGATAAAGAGATGTGGTTACAAACAAAAAAATAGTAAGTAGAAAGGATTTCTAAATAATTTATGTGAACAGTTTTATATTTATTTTCTAGACTTTTTGCTTTTGTATTTGTTTTTCAGAGTTTTGTGCCTGAATTTCTTTTTCTGCTTGATGATACTCTTCACATCTTTATTGTGAATCCACTTGTCACGCTCTGCTTCCCACCTGAGTTGTTTGAAATCTAATGGAGGAAGACAAGAAGTAAATTAGATAATTTAAACTCCCTCCCCTGAACATTTACTGTTGGGTTTTTATACAGATGCAAATATATCTGCCTAAACCAGAAATTCTGAAGCCTCTAATAAAATATCAGTGACTGGGTCTCTGGTATCTTTTGTCCTACTGAAAGCAAAATGTCCAATGCAATATGTGTCATAAATAGAATGTGCCCTACCTTCAACATCTTCCCTTAATTTTCAAAATA